ATCGTGTCAGAATGAGTGAAGCGGTCAGGCCCATCTACACGATCACCGGGGTGAGATCGAGGCAGGTCAAACACCGCTTACTGTCAACAGCCGAAGCGATCGCGATTCGGTTGAACAACCCCCTTTGTGCGTTCAAAAAAAGTCGGTCAGAGCCCTGGATTTACCATGGCCAGCCATAAACGCTAGAATGACATAAAGCCTGTTATCAAATGAGTGTCAAATGCATTTGATTCATTCGACAGTATATATATATATATATAACTTGTAGAGAGGCATGGTACCAACACCACAACAATAATAACAATAACAAAAATGGGGTCAGGTGGATTGGGATACGGAACAAAGTAGAAAAATGGAGAAAAACACGGGAAAATAGTAGATAAATGGGATAGCAAATTTTCTTCTTTCACCGTACACTTTTTGATATTTTTTGTTTTTGTTTTACGGGGCACGCGATTTCGAAAGGCAGACCATACAGCTTTCGCGCCACTGATTTCTATTCTGGGCCATATCTCTTAGTGTCTCTAACCAACGACAATCCTCATCCCTTGGGCCCCAACCTGGAAGGCGAGTTGCACCAACCGAAACCAAAGCCGAAGCCACCTTCTCCATACCTCTACGCCATGTCATGGTCTTCCAGCCTTGCCCGGCACGTGCGAAGAGAGCATCTTTCTTCATATGTTGTGGCACATTTGGCAATTCTATGTAATTGAATACGTGTTATACATCATGCATATGTTACACTGAATTAGGAAATACAGTTTCAATTCAATAAGATCGAAAATGAAAAAGGAGGCCTGACTACCAATGGAAAAATGAAGGAGAACGGCTCGGAAAGAACAAACATGCTGTTTTCGGCGTACAAGTTTTGACGTTTTATCTTTTTTGTGTTTAACTTTCTGTTTCTCATACTGCATGAAAGCTCAACTGACAGATGGCACAGTATTCTTCCCACTGATTTCTGTTATGAGTCGTGTCTCTAACTCACCAAAATCCTCATTTGTCAAACCCAGTCTAGGTGAGAAGCATCAACCAAAACCAATGACGAAGTTATGTTTCATATCCCTACGCCAAGTTGTGATCTGATCACCGAGGAGCTTTTCTAGACTTGCTTAGCAGGTGTAGGAAGAGCACTGAAAGACATTTTCCCCGTTACTATGCGTGTATATTTGTGTTACACATCTAACCGGGACGATCCGAAGGGTATCAAGCACAGGAAAAATATTTACGTGGGATCACGAACAACAAATCCGAAAACCGTCCAGACCAAACACCATTATACAGAATGGTTCACACACCTCACAGAATCGACAAACCTGGAGAGCGTTTGTCGCAATTTTCAGCCGCTGATTCAATTCCCCACATTTGGAATAGCACAACATCCACAACCGTTTCCACACTGGAGAAACTTTATTGCTTTTCGATATTTGTCCTCTCTGTGGCCCATCAGGCAGCTGTGTTGTTAATCATTCACTTTATTACTTCACCCTGGATCCCAATCCACCCGCTAAGCAATTTATCTGGCACAACGATTTTGTCAACTGAATTGAAATGTGCAACACTCCAGAAATATACCAGCTGTCTAATTGTTTGCGTCGTTGTTTGACTTATGCAAGTTTATAGTTGAGATTGTGAAGTTCAGTAGCCTCGATGGGATTCAAACCCACGCATAGACGCCGCCTACGATTTCGCACAGCGCACGATCTCCATCCCAGTCGCTACGGTATGCAAAGCGAAAGTGTATCGCATTATGTCTTAGGGTTGGTCTCCCACCCCAATCACTCAAAGTGCATAAATGGTCCATCCACTCGAGTGTCTGCTTCGTATGACGGGCACCATTTTGAAGAGGGGTTACCCCCTTCAGACCCAATCCCCGCACTTTACCGCAAATCTGCAGCAAGTATTTGAGAGCTATCCAAAGGATAAAATACCAGCGAATGTATGAGAAACTCTTGGATCTAGCAGTTCTATTTGGGTCATCACAAAGGCCAGATAACCCAGTTTTCAAATGACCGACCACTTCTGTGCTCTGCCAATCATTCCACAATAGGTCATATAACTTGCGAACAGGTGGACACGTCTTCTGCCAAGATACGCTTTATCCATCCGAAGAGTGAATTTTTAGCAGCCGCTAGTATACAACAGTTTAACGCACCTCAAGTACACACCCATTCATTACGATCGCGTAGCATCAGCCGATGCACGTATACATACTGATCCATTAACGAACGATGAACCAACTGTTAAGTCAAAAAATACCACCCCTATGAGACATGATGTGTTGTCTGAGTGGTCGTTGTCCTGTTGTCCGACTACACCTGCCCACCTGCCTACTTGTCAAGGTCAAATGACAACCTGGCGTTGAACAATATGTCGGGAGCAGGTAATGAGGAACCCATGTGTGGTTGTAAGAAAATGGGTAGATACCTGACTGAAGCAGAAGGGTTGCAGCTCGCCAGATGCTTTTACCACTCACGTAAATATGCAGCTGAAGAGGTACAACAGTGCGTATGGAAATGCGTAACCGAGTAACCGGCTACTAGATAAAAGCAGCAAGGGTGACAGGAAACAGTTAATGTCAATTCTTTGTTTGAACGTTATAATCGAAATTGAAATGTCAAGGGCAACTGCATTCGGTGTCTTATCAAGACCCTTGCAAACGTTTCCCTAGTTAAACGCTAATACTTCCACAGAAAACAGGACGGCCTCAACCGCAAGCCGAGCCTCTGCATCACAGAATTAAAACAGCTGGGAATAAACCAAAACCATATGGAAGCGAGCCACTCGGCTGATTTGGACAATCTAAGATCAAAGCGCAAAACCATACAGAACAGAACGACCGATCATACGTTTGGTAGACAGAAACCGTGTATCTTACTTTGCAGTAACCTCATCACTTTCTATCCTAAACGCAGATTTAATGCTGCTGAAAAAGCTGCGTTTTAAATTTGCTCCCAACTGCTGCAGAGGAAGACAAAAAGAGCAGTACTATAAACGTCAATCATGATTTGAACTCAGCGGAACCCGAAAGTTTCATCGACAATGTTTACATGCTCACAAACAGAATATTTTCTTTCCACTTCCGTCGGTAACACGACCTTTTGTCAACACACCGACAATAACGGTCAATAAAGATCACAATAAACTAATAAAAATCAATAAAGAGTGAACTTTATTCTCATTTACCCGAAACCTCGAGAGATTGCTGACGGTATTCAGCCAACGTAAATGTCAAATATCTGAAAACAAGCAATTGATTTAGGGTCACTATACAGTTGAGCGGTACACTTGATCTGCCGCTCGCAGAACAGCGAACAGCCAGTCTTCCAGTAAGATAAGACAGAAATTATTATAATTATGACTGTCAAAAATGATAACAGAAATTTGGGGAGGAATAGAGGGAATATCGCGTAAGCAAGCAGTTCGATTTATACAGGTTGCGGCGAATAGCTGTAGGCTGTGGAATCACTCCTCGGGCAGCAGTCAAGTGCACGTTGCACATGACACACTAAGTAGGGGCATATGGAACGAAAGACAGTCTTAGGGACAAAATCCAGTGCATGCCCGCATAGCTATTCATATTGGCCGGTACAGTTTGCACGGGAGCTATCGTCGTCAAGCGTGTGTGTGTGGTAGAGAGAGAGGAAGGAGAGAAAACCAGTCACAAAAAGTAGGGTGTAATTCGCAATGGGGGTTTGACACGTTCCGCGTCAGGAACCGCAGCAAAAAGCTTCGGTTCGTAAAGTGAAGGGGCATGGAATTCCAGGATAGCAGCAACATTTCCGCACCGGTAACAATAGTTAGGAGCAGACCATACGGTGATCAGACGGTTATCGAACATAACCTTGTATCCCTCGTGAACTAACTGATGCGCCCGGCAAATCACTTGAATTCCATTGAGATCCACAAACTTTTGGGTAACCTGGTGAAATAGAGACGATAGTGATTTATAAGCAGTGTTTGATCATTAACAGTGAAATTTAAAATCTATCAGTCATTGCACCATAAGAGAGATGAAAAAGATAAAAAGCTGAAACAGCGGTCGGTAAACCTAATGTTGATGAGGACATCGCAACTGCTACTGAAACTGTTCTCCCTACCGTTTCACACGGCTTAGATGAATGAGTGAGGTGTTGAAATCCTCAATTAATTCACGCCGACTTTCCGTGGGCCCGTATTCATAGTTTCACGACGATAAACCATCACAGTGAGACTGTACCTTACACGCCTGTGACCCAACGAGCCACACAGGATGGTGATTGTTAAGCCGAAGATCCAACCATGCCTGGAAGGTCGAACGGAAGAGATCAGACAAAGCCCAGTATCATGGTCCTCCGGGCTAGATGTTTGACTCCAGTTAGCCTCCCAGTAGGTAAAATTGTAGAGTAACCGATCTGAGTAAATGGGCCTCTACTTCGCTTTACTCGCTAACTTGCGGTTAGGTTCTTGTTAGACAACCATGATCGTTCTCCTGGTTGTACACCCTGGCAGTATCCGCCCATCAAACCCTAACGCATGCACAAACTATAAATAATTCCAAATGGGAATGGAATAATTCCATACTGCATCGGTCGTTGGGTAGGATAATCAGTACCGCACTCCCCATTGCATCGAGCGGGATGGGTAGTGATAAGTGGGCTACTGCTCAGATATCCCAACCTTAATTTAACTCTTTGTCTTCTATACCCAACCCGCTCCCTTTACCCCTTCTTCCGACCTGTAACAGTCCCTGTATCAACTTGTTCGTTACTCGCCAAAGTTCGCTGCCAATTAGCGCGGTAAGTAGTTTCCCACAAAATAGATGGCAGATTCCGAAGCTTTGTCAACCATTCAATCTGGGGGTCTTCAGCGTAAGGACTCTGATGCAGGCAAGCCAGCAAGCGTGTTTGGCGCATACAATGGACTCTTTGGGGATTGAGGTCTGCTGCGTATCGGAGACGCGAATCCAGGATTCTAGTACTATAAGCCACTTAAGTGCACCGGGGTTGTCTTCAAGGTTCTTCCTCCGCCAATCAGGTGACGACGAAGTCCGTTCAGTAGGCCAGCGTGGTGCAGGCATTGTACTCAATAATATAACCGCAGCGTCACCAATCGATTGGATCCCGTCAATACTCGCTTATTCGTGATGCGGTTCCGAGGGTATATCAGCATCCGAAAGCGAAGCAACACCAAAAGGTGCTTGTTCATTATTTCAGCGTATGCATCGACCAACTGCAATCCTGACGCTCAAAAAGACGAGTTCCATAATAAACTCACCGGACTCAATCGAGTGAGCCGACGCTTCGACAAAGTTGTTCTCGCAAGTGATTTTAACGTGCCAGATCAAAAAACTGAGTGCATCGAAAGCTTGTCTAGACGGCCGTTGTGCTCTGCTCCATCAACGAACAGATAACGGCGATAGACCGCCTCAGTTCTACGCAGATCGTCATCTGTTTCTATTCAGTATAAACTTCCGACACAGCTCTGAACGGACAGCAACGGGACGTTTCAATTCAACTGTTACGCTAACCCAAATCGACACATCAGTAAGCGTGGCTCAGCACATAACTGCAGATCCTATTGGACCACCTGCGTTGGATCTGATCACGCATTAGTTCTTATGCAGTTCACTCACCAACTCACTGGTCGCAGAAAACCCCACGAAACTTGATTGGCAGATCATCGTACATCTGACGCAGCCGTTCGTGTCCGTTTTGAATCAGAACTAGGACAAGAGGGAAACGCACTGCAGCATG